CATAAACACACTTAAAGTCTTTGAAAAGTACAGAACAAAATATATTCGACTGTTAATATTTTTTTATAATGAACTATATAATACAGGAGGGAGCTCTGGCGGCCTTAGAGGATAAGGGGAATCTTACAGTTGTTATTTGCCGTTGAGTAAAGTATGACTCATAGCCACCCTGTGAACAAAAGATCTAAACCCTGTTCTAGCCTGTGCCACCCTTACACTTCCTGACACACAAGAGCCCATTGTGGCAGTCACCGTGTCAATCCACCAGGTTGAGGACCTCCTTCGCTGACCCTCCACCCTTCCCAGCACCATGTCTCTTTCCAACGAATGGTTCCTCCTAGCAACATGCCCAAAGTATGTGGGGCAATGTCTCATCATTCTTGCCTCCAAAGAGCATTCTGGCTGCACCATCTCTAAGACATATTTGTTTGATTTCTTCTCCAACAACACAGCTCAAAGACTATATGAGAGTCCCAGAGCATTTAATTGTGCTCATGCAGAACCTGTATCCCGACCAGGAGTCTCTTATGTAAACAGAGCAGGGGAACAATACATGGTTTAAAACTGAGAAGTGAGTGCATCAGGGTTGTATTCTTTCTCCATTCTTATTTAATCTGTATGCTGAGCAAATCAGCTGAGAAGCTGGACTCTATGGGGGGGGTATGGCATCAGGATTTGAGGAAGACTCATCAATAACATTCATTATGCAGATGATACAACCATGCTTGCTGAAAATGAGGAGGGCTTGAAGCACTTGTTGCAGAAGATCAAGGAAGGTAGCCTTTAACATGGACTGCATCTCAATGTAAGGAAAATAAAGATTCTTACCACTGGACCAATAAGCAACATGATGGGTGGAGAGCAGACTGAAGCTGTCAACAGCTTCATCTTGCTTGGATCAACAATTAACACCGTTGGTCCCAGCAATCAGGAAATAAGGAGATGCATTGCACTGTGAAAATCTGCAGGTAGGGACCTCTCCAAATTATTGAGGAGTGATGAAGTCAGTTTGAGGATTAAGGTGCATCTGAATCAGGCCATGGTCTTTCTGATGCTTACAGTACTTACCCAAGTTCATATAACATTTGAATACTAGCTCCTATAGGATTGGAAGAATGATGCATGCTTTGGAGGATTTTTGGTGGTGTTAAGAAAAAACAAGCTATAATAAAATCTTTATGTACAAAGTGATGATTTGGTCTAAAACTTAGGACCATAGCTAGGTGCTTTCAGATCAGTTTGCTGGTTTCATTTGAATTTTTAGGTAAAAGCATGGTGATATTTTTCATTTTTTAATTTTTTGTATTTTAAGTCAGGTTCATTATTCTGCAGGATTTTCAAGGACCCAAAGTTAATATCAATTTCCCTCCCCCTTCTTCTCCCTCTTTCTCACTCCACCTCCCCCATCCCTCCCCTAGAAAGTTCAAACTTTCACCTCTTGCTCTCCCTCCCAACTGAAACAGGAAAAAAAGAAAGGCAAATCAAGTCAACTGAAACAACTAATTACAGTTATCAGAATGATCAGTATATTTCAGATGCATTCTTATTTTAATTTCTCCTGGTTTTAATTAGGACGAAAATTATTTCATCCTGCTGCTTCCTTTTAAATTACATATTCCTTAGAAGGAGTGCATACTGTTACTTTATACTCTTCACATTAGTTAGGAGCACATAGACGAGGGGGGAAAACAAAGAGGTAGAGAGTAGTGCTGTGCAGTGATTCTAATTCACACTAAGTTTACATGTGTTTAAAATTGCATCATACAATATTTAAATAGAGAGTTGGTTCCAAAATGATTCTCAAGATGAGTAAAGTACTGGCATGGATATTAATCAACTTAAAGACTGGACCTTTTTGTTCCATTGTTGAAATCCATTGTTGATGTATTTTAAGATTACTTTTTATAATAGGGCAATGCTGTAAGGAGAAGAGTATATGAGAATCATGCTCTTATTTTTGTAATATTTATATGTAATTACTGAGTAAATAATAGGAACGAACAACAATGAATGAGACACCTTTGCTTACCCTCACCCGAAAGTGATTAAAACTGAAAAGATTTGCCAAAACCGATGCATTTTTCATTCTCAGGTGGTGACTTAGGATTCTTTTTTGATTGAGTTCTACATGAAATGAAAATGGTTGCTAAGACACAAAGAAATGACAATCCACTACCATTTTATATCCCTGGGGAAGGAGGAGCCAATAAGAGTTGCCTCTTGTTGGCAGAGAGTCTCAAGTCATTAACATAAAAAGCTCCTTGGTGCCCTGTGCCATAGAGCAAAGTGTCAGGCCAGTTCCCATTACTAGGATCCTGTGGTGCTTTTCTTAAATAATCAGTTCCATTCAGACAGAGACTTTAGGGTCCTTGATGGTATTTCTATTTCACAAGTAGATTTTAAAGTAAATTTTAAAGGCTAAATGGCACTAAGGGAAGAATATTTCTGAAGCAAGGTTTAGAAAGAACCTGGTGTACCCCAAAGCTGTCCTTATTCCTTTTTTTTGTGAGGACAAGAGGAAGCTAAGTTCTAGCAGCATTATACTTCTGGGTTGTCATTGTTTTTGCTGTTGTTGTTAGGTGCTATCAAGTCCACTACCACTCACAGTGACTATGAAACAACAGATCTGAACCTTGCCCTTTCCTGTCCCATCCTCATGACCTCTGATCTATTTGAACCCATTGTTATAATTACTGTGTTAGTCCATCTTGTTGGGGGTTCTCTTCTCTTTCTCTGACCCTCCACTTTTTCCAGCATGATGTCTTTTTCCAAAGACTTGCCCTTCCTGACAATTTGCCCAAAGTATGTGAAAAGTTTCACTGTCCTTATCTCTAAGGAGCACTCTAGTTACACTTTATCCAAGACAGATATGTTTGTTCTGAGGCAGTCTGTGGGCTAAAGACCTCAGTTCTCCAGCCAGAGAGGGTCTGGAAATGCCTGTCCATGTGGGGACCACTTAACTGGGTGCTTCCTGAACTCTAGCAGGTGCTATAGAACTTCCTTTGCTTTAACTCTGCACCCTTTCAGATATGGGTGCCCCTTGGACTTCTATGCTTCTTCTTTTAAACCTTTTAAGGCCACAGAAAAGAATCTGTTAAGTAGTAAATGAAGCCTAGATGGCATTGCAACTATTATATATCTTGTTCTCCCCCAAAGTGAATTCTCAGAGTTCCTACTAGAAAATGTACTTCATGAACTTACTCTGTATATGCCCCCAATGAATTCCAGGAGGTCACAGGAGCAGAGAACAACTTCCTAGATTTGAAGAGCTTGCTCTTTAAAGAGCTATTTTTAACTGGAAGGGAGGCAAGTAGGCCTCCAAGTGCTGGCTGGTGTGCCCTACAGTGGGGATCTAAATTGGATGCTTGTGGGGATCTGATTTGAGGCTCAGGTCTCAGTGGGGCTCCTCTAGCATCTGTTCTAGGACAAAGTGGTTCTGGTGATTGGCGCAGTGGTTGAGGGAGTGATGACCACTGACTTCCAGAGGGCTTCAGCAGGGCAGCCCTGGGCCTTTTTTCTTGAATTCACAGGGTGCGGAGGTTTGGTCCTGCTTCAGGTGTCCAACACACAGAGGTGAAGAAAGAAATCCTCAGATTTACAGAAAAAATAAAACCATCCTAAAACTTTTATTTGGATGAAACTAACTTGAGCTCCTGAGATATATTACAACCCGATTTTTACAGAGTAATATTGAAATGCCATCCTGGGAGAATCGCTCCAGGCCGGGCTCCTGCAAAGCGCAGGCTTGGAGAGGTAAAAATGCCCTTCGCACTTTGAAACGTGTGGTCTCAGAGTGGACACACCAGGGAGGGGTTCGCCTGGACCACCTAGGAAGGACTGGCTCTGGACCTTAGTGGGTCTGTCCGGAGAAGGTGGCCTAGGGTGGAGCATGGGAGAGGCTGAATGGGAGAAGGAGAGGACTGGGGTTGAGGAGGGATGGTGAGGGCGGGGCAGAAATACAGGGACAAAGTCGAGGATTCTGACAGGCAGATAAGTTAGTGATAGAAAATTCCTAGGAGCTGGAGGTTTGGCCCACATGAAAGACAAAGGCAGGCTGGCAGGGGAGGAAGAAAAGCGAAGAAACTGAGACAGGGGCAGCAGAAGGGAGAGATTGAGGATGAAACAAACGGAGACCCTGAGAGAGCCAGAGCCAAGAGGCTGAGCCTGGGGGACGCAGGTGGAGGAGGAAGCGTGGGGGGCCAAGCCACCACTCCAAACCGGCCCCTCCTCATCTCCTCTGGCTACCGGCACTGCTGGCGGCGAGCAGCCAAGCTCACAAGGTCGCCCAGTCCTCGGCAGCCACGCGCTGAATGGCTGGCCGCCCGCCGCGCCCCCGCCCACGGCACCTCAGCCACAAGTCGGCAGCGCCCCGCGTTCGCGCCCGCGGCGGGCGGGGTGCCCGGCGCCCTCCGGCATTCGCCCACGCCCAGCGAGCCTCGCCGCCACTCCCCTGGCCTCTGCACGTCCCCTGGGGGAGCTGCTTCTTCCGCTGGGGGGCCCGGCCCGCCGAGAGCCTGCAAGCCGCATCTATTTGCACCGGCGGTAATTAGTCTTGGAGGAATCCTTTACTCGCGTGCCCATGCAATTGCCTGCGCGGAGAAGGTTGGCGTGCCAAGCCGCCGCCAGGAGGAGAACCACAGCGGCGCCCTGAAACCTAGCTCGTTCCAGAGCGTCCCCCAGAGGTGGGGTAGGTTCCCCAGCGGCGCCGGGGACTCCAGATAGACTGCTCTGCTATCCAGCAGTGAAGCACAGCTGGCCAGTGCTCCTGCAGCCTCCAGGTCCTCGCCACCCAACCCTCCCAAAGATCCACCAATTGTTGGTCACTGCGGGCTAGCGCTTTTCCTCCGAAAGGCCAGTGTCCTATCTCTGAAGTTCAAGTCCCGAGGACTTGCCCAGTCGCCTCCCCCTAAGTTTAAGTCATTGCCACCGTCTGCTGGCCGCCGCGGGAAGCCGGGAGCCCTGGGCTGTTAGTTCCAGTGCCAGCCAGCGCTGGCAGTCCTAGTCTGTCCAGTGCAGCAGCCAGGCGCATTCTCTCTCTCTCTTTTCCTCCCCCCCCCCCCTTCGCGTTCCCCTTCCTTTTTGCCTCATAAGTTTCCTGCACCTTGAATCCAATTGTGCCAAGCTTAGGCTTTCGCAGAACCAGCCCTGAGCGCGACCTGGGCAGGGGGACACCAACTCTGCGGAGGCTGGATTAGGCGGCCAGACCAGTTCGCGCCCGAGCATGGAGACCAAGCGCCAGGGAGGGCACGTCCGGGGCGCAGGAGACGCCAGGCCCCAGTAGCAAATCCATGGAGCCCATCCAGAGCGGTCCCTGCTCGCAGGATTTGCCCCCAGTCCTGTGCGGTACGTAGCCTTTGCCTCCGCTGTCCCTGTCCTGTAGGGGACACTTAGGGGCGAGGTGGTGGAGAGAAGGGAAAGGTGACAGGGAAGGGTACTGGTTGAGGGGACAGAGAGCGCCTAGTGGGTGACCCCCCCTACTCCTCAGAAGGCTTCCACTAGAAGTTAGGTCTTGGCTCGAGGGAGGAGGAAAAAAAGTAATGTCAGAGATGAGAATGTGTGTCTGCGTGTGTTCGGAGGGCTTGAGTGGGTAAACTGAGCCCTGCTTTCCTGTATGCAAATCGCATTGCCTTTCCCAACCCCCACGGCACAGACCGTGCGGAGCAACCCAGTGCCTAATCCTGGTCAGCTCTACCTACCCCTTCTCCGCACGCCCCCCTCGCTCACCCTCTCCCTCTTCCTCTCTCTTGTCTTTCTCTGCTGGTGTGTACGTGTGTGAGCGCTGCCAAGGCTGGCGAAGAACCAGCCGCCGCCTGTAGTCCGAGCTAGCCGGCCTCAGACACTAGGGCAGGTCTGGCACTAGGGCCAGAGGCGCTCGGGCTCGGCTGCAGCCTGCACGCCGCCTTGTGCGCCCCACCACCCGGGAACTCGCGCCCGAAGAGCGCAGCGAGCCTGGAGCCTCTACCCTCCCTCGGGCCGAGCGCTCGCTCTCTCTGGCGCTGGATTGACGTGCTTTTCGATTTTCTGCTCTCTACCCCCGCCCGGGTGTTGTGGTCCACTCCACCCCGCCACGACCCCCATTCCCAGCTTGGCTGAGAAGCCTAACCTTGCCCGCGTGGTCATGGGATGTCTAATTTCATTTGTATCTAGGCTGCTGAGAGCGTACCTTGCTCTGTAAAGTGGATGTCAGGTGGATGTATGGTTTTGAAGGAACAAAGACTCAGCGAAGGCACCGCCGAGGAAGTTTGAGACGCGGGAGAATGCAGGCTGCGTGCTGGTACGTGCTTCTCCTCCTGCAGCCCACCGTCTACTTGGTAAGTCGCGGTCGGTTGGGCGCCCCTGCAACCCCATTCAGGCCAGGAGGCGAGGCGCCCAGGGGCGCGCGGGAGGAGGCTCCCGTCGGCCAAAGTAGCATTCTTAGCTATCAAAAAGGAACAACTTTGACAAGCTTGTCTCTGGATACCTGCTGGATTTTCGGGGGTTCTTACCCCATATCTTCCTCCCATCTTCCCCTTGCTACACATGATTCAAGGGCACCCCAGATACACAGAAATGAAGGAGGCATTTGGTGGGGGTACTTAATGGAGAAAGGGCAAAGAGAAAAGATTAGAGACGCGAACTCTGCACTTTCAGAAGTAAAAGGAGAACGCTCCTGAGTTGGCTTTTGAGTCAGCTGGGGTCGGGGACTTTGAAAGAGAATCCGCCCACTCCGCCTCTCCATTTGGAGATGTGGCATACGAAAGTGCAGGTAACTTTCCTGAGTTGGAGGGTTCAGACAGGGTATAAGTTTAACTCCCAGATGGAAGCAGCGCAAACTGTCAAGAGTTGGGGCAGGAATACTCCAAGAAACATACGGGCTCCCCTGTTTCCTCAGAACCTCTCCTTTCCACCAGACAACTGAGCCCTGTGCCGGGAGGGGAAATGAGCAGGCCCTGTCGCCAGGGAGAGAAACCCAAACCAAGCCTCCACCCGCGTTTCCGGGAGCGCAATCTTGGGGGTCTAGAATTTTCACGCTCTCAGAACTTGCCTCCGGGGTGAAGCATTTGTGTTGCGGTGGGAGGCGGAGGCTTAGGAGTGTGGGCACCACGCGGAGACAAGGAGGAGAGTGAAACATGTAGGGTCCGGCTATGAGGAGGTCCAGGGACACTTGTGCCCTGCTGATGAGGTTGCTCCAGTGCCCCTAAGTCCTACAGGGGTCTCCGGATTGTAGGAGCACGTGGAGACCTCCCAGAATCTTGCCTCTAGGCGGGTGACACTGGGCAGCAAAGAGCTCCCTTTTGGGGCCTGATAAAGGGAAAGAGGGACTGTAGTATCCCTCAATCCCAAGGGGTTCAAAACCCAGAAGCCTGAGATCAAAGGGTCACCCGTTGGAATGAAAAACATTTTCTTTCTGTGGCTCTGATGCATGTAATGTAGGGGTGTGAACTCTGTATATGTGAGTGAGTGGTGTGTGTATGTATATACGTGTGAATACGTCTGTAGTTGTATATTTAACGCACTTCAGCTTCAAAAATCCTCAATGTAAGCTTGTCTTTGCACCTTTATCGCCTGACCATGGCAGCCGTGAACACCAGAGGGCGCTGCGCGTCAGTGTCCTCGCCCACAGGACACCTTGGGGTAAACAGGTGAAAGCCAGGGCAGCCAATCCAAAAGACAGCCTTTCTGACTGTGTCACCCAAGTCGATGTGGTCCCCGACTGGAACGCAGACTGAATGCAAAAAGATGTCCTTCCCGTTTCCCATCTTCAGTCATTCTAGCTCCCACCTGCGGCCAGTAAACCTGGTGACATTGAGAGCCAGGAGCAGGAGGGCAGGAAGTTTGGCCAGAGGAAATACAGAAATTGTTTATTAAGAGAGAGAGTAGACTCAAGGGGGAGGAGGGATGAGAAAGACAGACGAGGGTTAAGATTCCTTTGCCCATGATAATTTACCTGCCCTTCTTCTCTTCGTACCTTTACGCCTGACCTCAGCGTCAAGACTCTAAGGTTCTTAACGTCTGTGTTCACTTGCACAGCAGAGACTCGCGGCTGTGGTGCAGTTTATTCCGTGAAGCAAGTATTTCGATAGTCTGAAAAATAATCTATCAAAAGCAGAAGTGAAATCAATATGTTGGGTTAAATTTTAAATGTGTTTGTTGGCAGTTAAACCGTTTTCCACTCATTACAACAACAGTGCTGGATTTATTCTAATGCGCTGCGTTCTCAACAACAAGCGCATTAATTCTCCTTTAATTGTAAACTGGGAGCATTTGAAAACCATTCAGTGTGCAAATTATGCTGATTCAATTACCGTTTAGTTACAGACTTCATTACCTGAATGCCTTTTGGCAATACAGAGAAAGGAGACAATTTTTTCAACTTCACTCAAAACAATAGGAAATGTGAACAATAAAAAGAAAAGGCGATTTAGAAGTCCATTCTTTCCTCTCCGATCTAAAGTTGTTTTGTGTATTGAAGATCAGGAACAACAAGCACCACAAAAGCAAAAGGCAGGTGGCCAGAGACCCAAAGCAGTATTTCCAGGGATTGTCATCCACAGTTACAAACCTTCAGAACCTAGTTGTATTTCTGGAGGTTCAGGATACTGATTTTTACAATGAGAATAAATTTTAAAGGGTGAATTGGTCACTTGAGTGAGGGTGGTTTTAAGCTTGTAAGGAAGCACAGGGTCTTGATTGAAGCTGTAGGGCAATGAGCCTCAGGAAGCATCAAGATTTTTTTTTTGCATCTGTTTCACTATATAATATACAAACTGAATTGATAATTAATTTGTAGCTTCACCTGGGAACATCCTAACCCTTTGGAAGAAGCAGTAGTACATGTGTGCAGGTTGTCAGAAACTGCTTCAAGTTATACTCCAGTGTGGGCCAAACCTTTATTTTATTTTTACCCCCTTTAATTGACATAAGCTAGAGAAGTAATGTAAGGAGTGTTGGGTGTTTTTTTTTTTTTTTTTGTCTTTTTGAGCTAACACCACAAATTAAGTAGAGACTGGAGCACTCTTTTCTTGGCCTCCTAGCTGATAGTTATGTGCGCTTTCCCTTGAATCCCTAAGAAGCCTAGTTCTATTTTCCAAGGAGCAGTACCCACGTAATGCAAAGGGCACAAGATTTGTTTAGGTCTATAGAAATAAGATGTTTGTTTCCAGAGACATACCTTAAATATTGCAAGATTTGGGAAGAAATTGCTTAAGGAAACAACTCTTTATACAATAGATTTATAATCTATACTTTAGGTACAATTTTCTGCCTCAAGTAAATATTCTCAAAGTGTATCTCTTGGCAAGGGGTCTTTTGGATGTATATTGTAGTCTGAAGATTTCGAAGCTGTGTTTATTAAGACATGGATTTGTCCTGGTTAACCACCCCCCCCCCCCAAACAACTGGGTACCTATTTTCATACTGAAATGAGAAGCTAATTAGAAATGTGTCTTCGAAGTTACCTTCTCAAACATCTTAGCTAAGATAGTAAAAAATCTTCACAGGGCTAACATCAACCTACGTGGAGGAGAGGGGAAGCCATTTTTTTTTAAAAAAAAAACAAAGGCAAGGAAATCTTCTGATTATTGAATGTTGTATATTGCAAATTTAAAATCAGAACACAGTAGAAGAACTTACGGTTTAACAAAGCTTGTTCAAAATAATGATGGCCTATCATCATCTTTATTCCCTGGTCAGTTCTGGATCCATTCCAAGGTATTTTCAGTATAATATATGGGCAAAAAGGTTATAATATTTAAGCTGAATTAAAGCACTCCCCCTCCTCTTGAATAAACTATTGAGATATGGTTTCTAGTTTAGGAGAATGGGGTCCAAACTTGAGTTACTCTCTCTGGATCCAGATGAAGGATAGGCCTCAGCTTAAGGAGCTGGGAGAGTATCTTTCAGAAAATGGCTAGGAGTCACTTTTGTGAAGTCACCTGTGGCAACTCTGAGTAGAGTAGTCTAATGAGCACTTTCTGAGCATCTCAGTGGAAAAATTACACAAAAATTGAGTCCATAGACTCTAACAAAGGTTTATGTAGTACTGTTGTGGTCAGTGACTCCTCCACAGTACCGATGAGAGGTGGCCTCTTTCCCTGGCCAGTTTTCCTGCTAGGAATTAAGCACAGAAGGAGATTAACCATCTTCCTCCTGATTTTTTAAAAAAAGTTTTGAATAATCAATCTAGTTGCTTTTTTAACCAAGGTGAGTAAAAAAGAAAAATGCTTTTGAAAGTTTGTCCTTAAATAATAGTTTGTACCATCTATTCTTTCATATTTAGACTCTCCTTAATATGTGACTTCCAAACCAACCATTTTAGGAAAGAATAATGAATATGTTCATGGGACACTGTTAGAAGCCTGACCTTTCAAGTGAATCTCACAAACTGTGACTGTTAAGGTATAAAGAAGCTATGCCAACAGCATAGGGAGAACCCACCAATGCTTGTCCTTCCAGATATGTGCGCTTCCTATCCTTTGAAAAGTAAGCCAGCTATCCACTGACAATTTTAATCAGTTTGGGTTTATTCCTGAAAAGAAAATCAGACAATACATAACTAACTCAGAGTGCTAACAAATGTTCTTTATTAAGGCCAATCCCTTAGAGATAGCATTAAAAGTTCCCCAACTACATTGGATCAAGAGTATTTCTGGACTGTTTTGTCCCAGACTGAGTTTTCTGATTGCACCTAGATATTTGGAGGAGTTGATGCCCCAGAGACATAACACAGCTCATCAGTATGGAGACATCTTCCAGAGCTATGTAGGAGGGAGGGAGAGGAGAATCTATTTCCAGGTATTTTCCTGAAATGTTCGGCTCAGGACTGACCAGGAAAGCGTTCCTCTGGGATGGCTGGAAGTGCTTTGGTTGGCCACCCGTCTGTCCCTCTTCCTGGGGATTACTGTAGCCTAGGGCCTTATACAGACAGTCTCAGAGAAGCTGTCATCAGTATTAGGCGAACACCAGAATTGCGCCAACTCTTTTTGAACAGTATTTTCTGGGAAAGCCATTAAGTTCGTGGCTCATCCTTGTATGAAGTTGATTTCTATTTGGCTTTGAATGGTTGACGGTTATTTCCTCCTTAATGAAAGTGTTGTCTGGGTGAAAAAAATATATCGGATGGCAGGGAGATTGGGTGATTTCCCCCCCTCACCCCCACCCTGGAAATAGGTGCCCAATGTCCTACTTTCTATCTGAAGGAAGATTTTCTGCAGACTACAGAAATTGACAGCATTGTCCGGATAATAACTACAGTTGACAGTATTTTCAAAAGGGCATTTGTGTGATGAAAGCATTTGGGTATTGCTTTTTCAAATAAGCAATTTTCTGACTT